GATACTCAGTTTAATACAATATTATAATCATATAAATACCTTTATATTTATGTAGTATAATATAACATTGATGCTTTCATATTATTATCATTATTCACCTGAAGCATACATACTGTGTGTCCGTGTACTTTATCATAAATTATTATATTAAAATTTTTTTTTTTAAGCAAATATAATATTATATTATTCGTATGCCTAACAAATAATATTTTGAATACTTTAGTATCTGTACTGCAGTAATCGAATAATAATAACAATAATTTATTTTTATTTTTTTCGACATAATAATATATAAAAGAATACAAAAATAATTACAAATTAATTTACTTCACGACAACGTACACAATAATTACCTAGTCAGAAGAACATTTAAAACATTTATTGTTTTTGTTTTTAAGCTTAGTAAATTTATCTGAATGCAGATAAGCGTTTTTGTTTTATTTTAAAAACTAATAATTAACAGTGATGTAGGTGTTCTTTAAACTATATAGATTTTTGGGTGTACACGAATTCAATTAAAACGTCCAACTTTTGACGAATAACTACGCAACAACAGTATTCAACGAATTAAAATATTTTATTCTCAATGCTTCGGAATTAAAAAAAAATTAAAATTAATATTATTAGCGTTGGGAAATTACTGTTTGTTAGTTTTGTTTTTGATACTTTCGTTTTAGGTACACAATCAATAATATTATGATAAATGCATAAAGCAGTATAAATGCCGAAGCATGTGACAGATGTAGGTAGCTTAAAATGCATTTATAAATGGCTATTTAAAAACGAACCGTATTCCCGTGAACTATTCACTACTATGATTGTACGTCAAAATCAAATTACTGAAAGCTAATGAATGCTGCGCAATATATATATATACCAACAGCAGAAGCAGTTTGCAACTAACCCGTGAAGTAACGATAGAATTTAATATTCTCGAACGTGATGTAATTTATAGCGTTATAATTATATTAGTTCTCACCCGCCCGCACTCTCGAAAAACGTCACAAACGACATAAACTTATTTTAACAGCATGTATTGAAAATCTTTACTCATAATAATTCAATATTGAATGGCAATTTAAATGTAGAACATCTTCTTCGTCCCTGAGTTAACCTCAACATTATTTATTATAATAATATTGATGAACTGATGTCCGCCAATCATATTATGTACTTTTTTATCGTCGCTGTCAAATCATAAAAAATAATTATGCATCAGCAACAATGCTTTCGAGGTGGTCATGACGAGAACATTGTCTAGCCCTCACACACGCGCGTGCTATATTTGCGTTCTAACGAAGTGTTATTTACTTATTTTTTTAACATTTTTATATTCAAGAAGTATTTTCTCCGTGCTTGTATGGATTTCAGTGAAACGATATGACACGAAATATTTAAATGCAGCTGATTTATTTTTATTTGACCGAAAACGTTCAATAGTAATTGTTATTCGTCGTATCATTTTTCGAGAGTGTGTTTTCATGGAATTCAAAAGGTTGCTACATCGATCAAATGTCTTCAATATTTACTTTGGTACTATTAAGTTCAGCACAAAAAAATCTACGACAGTTCTATTTGTTGTAAATCATACAGATTGTATTAAAAACCGTTTTGAGTTATTGTTAAAGGTTGAATTTAAAATTAAAAAATGTACACAATACTACCGAAGAACAACTTAATTGTATACATTTATTTACCCCGTTTTGAGTTAAACGAACCGACGTTCGAGTCGAAGGTGAATAAATTATTCGGAAAATTATATTAAACATCTCACGATTATCATTAATTTATATGGTAACGTATTATATTATGTTAACCCTTGATTTAACTCGTTTTAAATTGAAAACAATTTTCTCGACTAAATATCTTATGAAATGATAAATAATAATACATAACATCGATTTAGGAGAAGCAAATTTACCGTAAATAAATAAATAACGCGATCAATGACTTGGAAGGGACCAACTAATGTAATTTAAAATTTTTTCTTATCAACTCTAAGATTATGGCTGGAAAATAAATAAATATTATATTATATAAATGTCGAGTAGAATTTACATTTGGTAATTTGGTGCATAAAATAATGTTGCCACGTGTAATAGTATTTGTTATTTGTATGCACTTAATTATTGTCCTTAAAATAATAATCGAATTGGATCAATTGCTCTGTAATAAAATATAATACCATCTACATCTGATTATTAAAAAAGGATCGCTGTAAAACATAAGTTGTGAAAAATGAAAATTTAACGATTAAAACCCGATTGTATTGCATGCAGTAATACAATGTTCGTCTACGAAAATATTATATTGTGCGCAAAATGACCAAAATCAAACAATTTTCACGTTGTCGCTCATTGTTCTGCTGTTATTTTGTCCTGATAAGGTACAGGAGACACGGACCGAAACAATAATAATTATTGTTCAAAGTGATTTATACGTAGTCACGTCACGTCGACGTCGGCGATATGCGTGGTATTAATGTGTCATAATGTGATGTCTGAGCTTTGCCCTGCACATTTTTCCCTGGCTTAACGAATTACACAGTAATGCACTTAAAAATCACATTTTGAAGAGCCAGGGTCGGTGGCGGCAGTGGGTGGGGGAGGGGTTAGGTTGAGAGAATGGGCCTGCAGTTATGTTCATGCATTATTCAATACCGAAACCTTTTTCCACATACACGGATAGTATACGTCGGAAAGATAGCCGCGAAGTTATCTCAAGAAACTGGCGCATTCAATTACGGCGAAACGCTTTCGAAATCTCCGACACTTTGCCGTTTTAATCAGATGAAGTACCGGCAATAAAAGAATTCTTTGGCGAATGCGAATAACGTATGTACTATGTATAGGTGGACCCATCCAATAATAAAATTAATATCAATACAGGTAGGGTTTTTCATTGGCAACGTCTTAAGCGATGTATAACAGCGGCCGTAGATTTTTTTTAGTTTTCGTGTACAGTTATTACGCCACCACGTGCCACATAACCATGGTATGGTATATCTATACCTGAGATTATCGCAGACAAACAGTATTGGCTACGCAGAGTTGTGTAAATGTGTCCGCCGCTGTTGTGTAGCTGCAGATAGACAAGAAAGTCGTTTGTCAACGAAAAAGCTAATACCCATGGCAAACCACTATAATGTACATGTATTTTTTTTATTTTTAACCATAAGCTTCTTAAAATTACTTTTTTATTGTGAAACTGGTCTCGTAATTTGATCATATGTGATAAACATTTAGTTCGTTTACTTTGTTTCGTATATTTACTGTAATCTATAATTCACGGAATTGTTTCGTAGTTTATTTAGGTTCATGCGGTTTTTTTTTTCAGATTTCGTTTTTTTCATACACAATAATATTATGTTACAACAAAATTGAAAAAAAAAATGACCTAGACCAAAACGATTTTTTCATTGCACCGTTATTATATATCACCTTTCAAATATATGTTTGCCATTTAGTTTAACTTTGATACTGTATAGTGATAATAACTCTTATGACAAACATTGAAAACCAGTCACGAATTTCAAACAGGTTATTAATTAATGATAAGAGATATATTATTTTATACAGTCAGTCAATGGAAATATAACATGGCATGTAATGGTTTGGAAATAGCTATAAAAGCACATCAATTAATTTATATAATGTACCTATTAAAATATATTTTATATATTTGTAATATTATGCTTATTTTAATTTGAACTGAATCTACAGTCATATTGAAAGCGAAAACAAAATATTCTATTGAGATGATAATATAGTAATAACAATACTCCCTTCACCTACATCTACATACCACAAAACATATCAATATCAACTTCCTAAAGGTAGTAATAATATCGACACCTCTCGCTCATTATGTCCGTAATAAACGAAGAACTATTTTGTTTAATTATGTTATCAGATGTATTCCCGCCAATTAAAAAATAATAATATGTACGCGTTATTTTCAACGGTGCAAGGCTAAGTTTGCAATATGCCCCTTAGCCACACCTTATTATTTGCGCCTGTGCGTACACGTAGATTGCTGTGAATAAGATTTTTTTTTAAACCTATATCTACCATGACGTTGGGACCTCGTGGGGAAACTGATATGATGATGGATATTATTGTATATTATTAGAATAAGCTACACGACTATATACCGTAGGTCCGTGTCGACAATTCACCAAACATGCACAGTGATCACACCCATTTTCTATTACCTAATAATGTATTTATTCAAATTAAGATTTTTTAAATCCTTTAGTACCTGCACTTAAATTCGATATTTTCAAAAAGTTGGAATTTTTTGTATTCCAGTGTCACATTTTCCACTGCTGTGTCATGTGATGAATACAACTTTTATTTTTTTTTTAAATGAGAACCACTATTTGTTACTGTTAATTGTTAGTTTCTTGGAAGATAATTTGTTTTTAGAACATTGATGCAATTTGAACTAGTATTTTTTGAGTAACTTAACTCTTTTTACATAAAATATATGTCATATTTAGTGCAGTATTTATTATACTCTTAAACAATTGTATAAACAATAATGGATTTAATATTAGCCTTTAATATTATAGCCCTCGTTTTATACGATTTACCGTGAACTGTTATTTTAAGTACATAAAGCCTAAACAATTAGAAACAAATTGTTGATATTTTATTTTAGATGCCTTGAAGTTATCGAACAAATTATATGATAATTAAAGTAAAAAGGGGCTCTTTTAATGTAATAAAAATAATGGTTTAACTGGAATATATAGAATACATTTCCACAGGACACATCTTAGCTGGCATAAACAAAATGTAAGTATAGGTACCTGTAAAAGTGCAAATATTGTCTCAAATCTTAATTACAAATAAAAAAAATCGAAATTAGAAAAAATTCATCATTATAGGATACAATAGTGGTAAGAATGTTTGTTGAATCACCCTGTATACATAATTTATTTTACTTGGCATAACGGCCGTTTTGTATGATAATAATCTAGCACCATATAAAATTACCCGTCAGCGTCTGATCGTAGCCCTTCGTGAAGAACAGCATTGCCTTGGCCGCCCTCTCCGGAGTCTTCAGCAACCCTTGGCGCTCGGGGTTTTCACCCAACGCACTCAAAAGCATCTTGTATGAGTCAGTCATGTCCGGCAACAGGGCTTCCCGGGTGGGCGGCTTGTGGTCCAGCTCTAAGTCGTGGTGAAACGTGCAGTTCTCGTGACCTGTGGACCGGAACCATATTCGCGACGTAAATTTTTTTAACTCACAACACCCACTCACACACACACACACACACTATTATGGGTGGTGGTGAAAAATGGGGCTCTATCGCACGCTCGATAAAAGTCTGTATACGTGTATGGGTATGTGTGGCGTGTACTCACGCATTCGTCATCGTAAAAATATTATTATAATTTCTACAACTATTATTAACGTATATAAATCGTTGTAACCGTACCCGGTGTCTTACCCGGCGTGGTGGAAGTTCTGGGCGTTTTGGGGTTGCCCGTGTTGTCGAATTCGTTTTCGTCTTTCCACGACGCGAGTTTCTTCAGTGCCGGGGGTTTGGTCTTTTTCAGCAGGCTCACCACGTCAGTGCCGTTGCCGTTAGAAACTGTCGTGGTCATGACTGTGGCTGTCGCTGGTCTTGTGTTCGGACGTAAGTATTGTTGTCTTATCAACGAAATCGGCAACACCGGCCGGTGGCGATCACTGGGCGACGACGGAGAGAAGATTGGAATAGTAAGATAGTATTTTTTATTGAAATGATGTTGTCAATGGGTAGGTATTGTGATATTGCGTGTCTCTGTAGTATGCGTTATTATGTTGTGACGGGGTGGAAAAAGAAAATGCGATCGACAGGTCAATGCGAAAGTGAGCCGGACGTCTGGTGACGGTCAGCGAACGACACTGAATGCGATTCCGGGAGAGTATCACAGCGGCTCTCGTGGTCCGGTCGGGTCTTCGGAGGAGCGATGCGCGCGTGTGCGAAAGAGTGCGCGCCGGACGAATTTATATGCGTGACGGCGGAGGGGAAGTATAAAGAGGTGCCGCCGCCGCCGAGTATCGTTTGTCAACTTCGCACTTTTCTCCCCCTTTCCTTCCCCTTACCCCACACACGCACACACACACACACACACACACACACACACACACACACACACACACACACACACACACGTCGCAGTCATGTAGTTTAAGGCTCTCACTTTTACGAAGCATCGACAATACGTGGTATTAAAATTATGTAATAATATATAATATTATGATGTAGGTAAGAAAAATAATAAAATGAAAATAATNTGCGCGCCGGACGAATTTATATGCGTGACGGCGGAGAGCTGGGGAAAAGAACTCGGAGGAATTGAAAGGATCGTTTGACACTCACACACACGCTCTGCACTTTCCTTCCCACTCCCCCACACACGCACACACACACACACACACACACACACACACACACACACACACACACACACACACACACGTCGCAGTCGTGTGGTTTACGACTCTGACTTTTACGAAGCATCGACAATACGTGGTATTAAAATTATGTAATAATATATAATATTATGATGTAGGTAAGAAAAATAATAAAATGAAAATAATTAAAACAAAATGTAATGATAATAATAATAATATATGTGTTTCCATTTTATGGTATATAACATCACATATTATAATAACATATTATGCACTTGATTTCGCGCGATTGGGCTAATCGAAATTTAACGAAAGAGAAAAGTGTTAGGTACAAAGCATATTAATAATAATATAACATATAATGCATAAAATGTGCAAAATGCGATGCAAATGTAATTGATTAGTAAGTGCCGCAGTGATATAGATATTTGTCGAAATAGAAGTGCATCGCAAAGTGCTTTTGGGGTTTTTGCAGAGTAAACATTATCGGCGGATCTGTTTGTTTTCTCTCAGCTCGGGAGAACGTCTCAGATACACTGCAAATAACGATTTTGTTTTATTGAAATTCCGGTATATAATATAGGGATTAAAACCTTGACGTTTCGCCGTAATCGGACTTAACGGCCAACCGAATAATCTCTGTATTAAATAATAATAATAATAATAATGTGTCTCGGACAAATATATTTTCAACCATTAGCAATGTTGAACTGTTCGGGAAAAAATATAGTTTTAAAAAGTCCGTTCAAATTATTATACTATTCATATGAGATGATAACAAATAATATTGTGTGCATTCGGTGACGTTCTGACGATGTGATATATATTTCATAGAAGGTTTGAGATTATGTTAACGTTAACCGATTAGTTCGGAAATCAATTAGGTACATATAAATATACGTATTTAATATTATATCACAAAGAATTAGTGAAATCGATATTTTAGTTAAAATATTTATTTAGATTATAATTTTTTTATCTTACTGAATCGTAAATAATACGGTGGTCAAAAAGTCTAACCGTTTTCTAAAACCGATTAAAGTACAGATGGTAAGATAATTAATCGCACAATAGTATAATAATAGTATATAATTATACCACGCATAACGCAGTAAATGAATTATGTAATAATGTCGTTTGGATAACTCAATAGTGTTTGTTGATTTATTGTACTGTCTATCAATATATTAGGTACTTACCTACGTGTTCTCTTTGGGCTACGTGCGTTTACACATGTAAAAAAGTTATTGAAAGGTATACAACAAAATATATGAATGAGTCAAGGACCTATTAATAATAACCATACGGTTTGACTGTAAACGAGTAATAAGTTGATATAGGTAAGTAGTAAAAAAAAAAAAATACCGTGTGTATATTATAATTTCTACGAAAATAGTCTGATTAAATGACCCCGATACTTAAATCGTACAATGTTTGGAGTTTTAAAAGAGTACCCAAGGGACTGCTGAGTTTTTACTTTTCATCAATACAACCGTTGACAGATTTCCTCTAATAACTGAGTAATAAATTTCAATATTTGATTATTGATTCCTAATTGGAATTTATGAAACGTGGACGTGTAAAGTGAGAATGTAAGTGTAAAATGACTAATGGGATAACCTATTAATTTTATTTTATTCTTAAATTTTTGGAAAAGTTATTTTAATTAGGTAGGTCATATGTAGGTGTAGGTAGACGATAAAAAAATTTTCACAGGAAGGTTAGGTTTTTTATTTTATTTAAATTAACCTGTGTTCAGAAACTAGTTTACTATATTGGTTTTAATATTTCACTTTTACCTACCCGTTACAATATAATACGTATACTATGCATTATAAAACTAGTTCTTAAATATTAGTATCGTAAATTTTACGTTATAGGCACTAAACCTATTTTATATATATATTTTGCAGATTTTGTTTGAATTCAAAATGTTTTCGTAAGCAATGTTGCACCTACACATTATTCAATGAGCAATTAATACTCATTATACCTTCAATCATAATTGTATTAATTTATCATAATTAATGAGTAATGATCATATTGTTACAATTGGAGCACAATATTCATTAAAAACTTACGACAACCAAAGCAAACAAAAATAAACATCACTGGTATGCACACAAACTATTTAATGCAGTTGAATCCTAAATTGACTGTAATATAACTTAAGTTAAGCATATATAATATTATAGGTAATACATTTTCATTGTCATTGTTACGGGAATTCAATTTGCATTCGATCTCTTTAAAAATGAATAAATGTTGAAAATGATATACAATTTAACTAGGTACAAATTGATTCTAAATATATTTTAAAAAAATATCTAGGTATATTATTATACTCGTATTTTAAGTACCATGTAAAGTGTTACGTATAAATTATACGACTAATCTGTATGTATTGATTTATTGACGGATAAGTTGTCGACGTTCAGATCATTTGGTGAGTAAATTGATATTAAAAATAGTTAAGTTACGCAAATATTTAATTTATTATTTAACGTTAGCTATTTGTAGTTCTAACTATAAACTTTTTATCTCTTTTATTTTTATTTTTTTAAATCAATTTTCTCTAACATAATATATGAAATAAATATTCAAAATTATAGTATTGTTAATTTGTATCAAACACAAAAAATATGAACATTTAAAAACATAACTCGATGGATAATTTCAACATAATACAAAAGAAACTTTAAGCATTGTACGTTATAACATCATGGAAATATTATTTCGTAAAATAAATTCTATATCGTCATCGTTATAAAAAATCAAATAATAATAATTTAAGTTTTTATTCGACTGTTCATTTATAATTATAATATAAATAAGATATAATATATTATGTTAATATTACATTAATTAGTATTTGCATTGGAAAATAAAAACAAATATTAGTTAATAAGTTGATAATTTTTTTTTAAATCTGTTGATGTAAAAACTGGTTTTATTAAATCACATAGCTAAATTAAATAAATAATAATAGATTCTATAATATGAATCATATGATCAATTATCTTTTAATATTTCATCACTATATTGATTTTCCAGAAGCATTACTAAATATTTTATTCAAATGATTATTTTAATATTAAATGTGTGTAAATGAAATGTTGTTCGAACCTGTTACATGAAATAAAATAACCTTGCGCTCTTAGACTGTTTTGCATGTTATTTAATTATTTTTGACGGTGGAATTATAAACAAAAGTGACCAATTTTATTCCCTATGATTATCCATACTGCAAGTATTGTTTTTAATTATGATCAGTGTAAGACGTAAGTTACAGATGCTATTATACCTAATACAATTAACAATAAAAGTAAAATTACAAAATGCAATACAAAAAAATTTTTTTACAAAATCATTATTAACGTGTCCCTTAAAAAATAAATATTAGTCTTACGTCAAAAATATAATAATATACACAATATATTACAAATATAATACATTTCGGATTAAAAAAATATTTAAAATATAATGCAATTATAGTTGACACCCATGGATAGATACGATGTTATAATTAATTATAGGTGATTACCGGTGACCAAATTCAATTTAATTTCAACACATTATGGGCCACAGTTTGAATTTATTTCCAAAAACAATGTCATCATTTTCAAATTTAAAACAAAAGCTTGTACGCATCTCGGGGTCTTCAGAGACCAATATATATAATTTACACAATGTGTGATGTCGTGTTCAGATTGTTTGTTTGTCCTAACTTGTACGTAAATATTTAATTTTTTGTTTGTTCTTGAAGTATTAAGTTTTATTAATTTTTATTTCATTTTCAAACGACTATATTTGTGTTATCAATAATGTAAAATCATTTTAGTTCGTAGGTAAGTATATTACGATGTCTAAAAAACCAAAATTGAAAAGTTTTTTTTTAGCTTTTAAAACGACAACGTTTATAAAAGATTGTATATAAGCAAAATATAGTAACAGAATTCTAAGTTTTCTGTACTGTTCAATTCACTTTACGGCTATAAATATAATTGTTTGGACATTTTGAATTCTAAAAGACGACGTTTAAAATCAGCTTACATAATAGCATAGGATTTGGATTAAAGATTATAAAAAATAATCACAATATGCATTGATATTAGCCGAAAGTACACAATAGACATTAGGCAATATTTAAAAAAAAATTGGTAAACATTTACTTGTAGGTACAACGCCATTTAACGGGATAAGGTTTCGAATACATTTTAATCTATTTGCCGAAAAGTAAAAAGGCAAGGTGGAATGAACCAGCCATAAATCCAATTATGAGTATGACATTCCATTGATGATTTTGTTACCGACTCTTATTATGTTATGGAATTATATAACTAATTAATTTTAACTATTGCGTAATAGTATAGGGTTGTATAATGAACACAATTATAAGTCAATATCAAATGTCCTTAACTGGAGAACTTCTAAGGATTCAGTATTGTATGCCTCTCATTTAAAATATATTTTGTCAATGTTTTCCTTGCAAAATCTTTGGTTACACGAGTGCATAGAAATTATTCACCCCCTCGATGAGCCGTAATTAAATTAAATAGGTGACAACATGTTCATAATCAGAGACAAAATG